GTAGGCAACGCATCTGCAATTGCGGATGTCTATGGGCAGCGGTCGCTTCGCCATTTTGGCGGATTCTAGTGGCCGCTTGCTCGTTTGCCATCTTATTTTATATAAAAAACCTTTCTAATGGTAAAGGAATTTTTAATAATCACCCAGTAGTTTTTGAGTTATTTCAATTCCTACAAACATAAAAATCTTTCCTCGTTATAATGTTAGTATGGATGAAGCAAAGCTTTGAAGTTAAGCATAGACTAATCGAATTGAGCTAACGGAGTATCTTACCATGTTTCAACTTGAAAATAAACGCTTAATATATATACAGAGACCATAAGGTCTACATTTATATTTGTAGACCTAGAAAGAGATGTATGGATTGCGTGAAAGGTGACATGATGAAGAAGGGAGTGATGATTGAGATGACGTATGATAGTTATGTGGAGGACAAAAACGAGTAGGATAAGGAGAAAGATGATGATATATACAGTAAAGTATATTTTTCTCCTACACAATTAGGGAGATGTCAGTTTGGTTTCTACATAGTGTACGTTTTCATACTGAACCTTTTCATGTTTTCCGCGATAGCTAATGTTCTTTACGGTTACACGAAATCTGGAATGTTTCCAAATAAAAATAACGGGAACACGTTTTCTTTGAAAAGATACGTTCAATTCGTCCTTCTTTAATTTATCTCATTTCAGATCTCTGTGTGATTTGATAGAAATTTTATACACCGATTTAAATTTGAAATTGAGTTTGAATCTTAACATGCTCGTATATTTAACTAATTGTTAGTTGAACCGCGGGCTTCTATTGTTCTTAATACCATTCTAAAACATAACCTTTACTTGTTGGTAATCTCTAACTTTTATCTGCTTTTCTATCATACTATTATAATAAAGCGTAAACACACACTTCTTTGTTACCTAAGATGTCAGCAATTACAGCATATTTTCAAATAACTTCTTTTTTAATTAAAAGCCCTACACTTACGTCAGGCTTTAGGCTATATATTTTCACACCGTTAAACTCAGAGGTAAATATATTTTGGAAAAAAAACCTTAATGTGGGAAAGAGACCATAAGTTGTTACCAACATCAAGGAAGCAAGGTTGCCATGGTTTGACATCATGTCATGTTTTTTGAAATTTGTAATTAACAATTTGACAAATGTGAATAATAAAATGAAATATTTATAATTCTATGCGGATGAAGTCGCATGGGAACAGCTAGTTAGTTTATATTTAAGAAGTCTTAATGGCGTAAATAAGCCTATGTAGTAACATGAAATAAATAAGTAATAGCTACGCATACACGATAGAGTTTATCTAAATTTTGTCCGAGCTCATTCCCATAGGATGCAAAAGTGATTAATCGTACAATGTTCTTAATGTATATTGCACAATCAAACTCTAGATAACACGATAAATTCATTTAAAGAAACAGTAATATATCCTAAATAACCACCTCTCTATTATAGTCTAATATAGCATCTAAACTATTACAATTATTATTTATATTAAGACGCGCTTATGACTAATCTATCGCACAACTGCTTCGTTTCACTTTGATTCCTATGACCTTATATGTGTGCACACTACTCGATTTTTAGTTGTGCAACTAAACAGTTGAATTGGCTGCAAAACAATCGACAGTCAAAGGTGTGCCCCGTTCTAACTTTCAAGAGAAAATAAAATAATAGATAAAAAAATAAGATCTCCACCCAATTCAATTTAATCTTCAATATTTATGTTTTTGTCGGAGTATCTGTTTAACTTGTTACCGACAGCGGGGTAGCCAAAAATACAAAACACTTTTTATCAAACTAACACATCTTTATTCAAAACTTATTTACACAAATATATATACAAAAAAACTCCAAACTATCTGGATCACATCTTGACTTCTTATTCTTCTTTTTCTATATATTTTCTTTAGCCAACGATAAATGCCTTGGTGGCCAGTATGCAACATCTTTGGCTGTATACATACTGCTTGTCAGCCAAAGAGGTTGTATTTTGCACTCAAGAGTATCTAAAACTATACATAAATGTTAAAACGGATATAAGTAAGGATATTGTAAAAGATTAACAGTTCTCTATTTTAGCTAAAACGTAAACATTCTAGAGGAAATTCATGTTGCAGCTAATATTGTGTGCTTCCTTCTTCAACGCAAACAGATTTAAAATATAAATATCAATGGATATTCAAAGCAAAATGATGCAAAAGAAACAAAACAAAGTGACTACGCTTTGTTATACTTTTAACAAGAATATCTACTTGATACTTTTCTGGAACTAAACAGTGACTAGTTTTATTGTCTTACTTCAATCTTACTTCTTACTTACTAATATTATAAATGCGAAAGTTTAGATGGATGTTTGTTAGAGTTTGTAGCATACGGCTGAACGGATCTCGATGAAATTTGGCATAGATATAGAGGATAGTCTGGAAGAATACATAGGCTACTTAATTTTTTTTTCAATAACATGCGGACGGAGTCGCGGGCGAAAGCTAGTTTTATTTATACTAATATTATAAAGAGGAAACATTTTTTTGGATATATGTATGTATTCGATTCACGTTAAAACTATGGGGTCGATTTTAAAAATTCTTTCACCATTATAATTGGTAATTTATCTGTGAGTAACATAGGCTACGTTTTTTTAATGAATATGTTAAAAATAAAATTTGACATAGATATATAGGAAAGTGTAGATGAACACATAAGCTATTTTTTTTTACTTCCACGTGAACGGAGTCGCGGGCATAAGCTAGTATTTCATAATGAATATACGATGTATGGATATAAAATCTTTTATTTAATTACTAAACTCTAACACTAATAATTTAAAAGAAATTGATAAAACACACAGATATACCATTTAAAAGATCATGCTAAAATTTAATCGTGTACAAAATAAACAGCTAAATCAAGTAGAAGTAACCTATCAATGTATTTATCTTCCAACCAAATGATATTTACGCATGTATCATGTTAAAACGACTCCAATTTGTCCTACCAAATTAAAGATCGATGGTTCATGTAATTGGATAAGATATTTCACACCTGATGGGATTTAGTAAGTGTGTGGCGGCAATTTGGATGTATTACTGCGATAAAGGAACCTAATCTTACTAATATTGTTATGCGAAAAGATGGAAGGATGTGAGAGTTTGCCGCCTAATCAATTGAATTTTTTTTTTATAACATAAGGTGGCAAACGAGCAAGCGGCCCCCTGAAATCGCCAAAATGGCGAAGCG